TGCAGGTCACTAAAAACATGTTGTACTCCTTCAGCTAGTGTGTGCTTGGATTCTTGGCCAGTGTAACAACTTTTCTTTGTGGTATAGAAAAGTGTACCTTATTGATCATATTAGACATGCAGTCTACCATAGCTCACAATTATTATCACAAAGATCTCAAGGAAAATGTGTTTACAACCTTACAACTATATCAGTGCTGTTGCTTGATCTACGTGACCTTCAGCTTTTAGATTTGAACCTTGTTTTCTACATCAGCTAAAATAACTGCATCAATGTGTTGTTTTTAATCTGTGTCCTCACTGTAGGCCGGACTATGTATGTGATCCCCTTCAGCATGGGTCCCGTAGGCTCAGCTCTGACCAAATATGGTGTCCAGGTAAAAGCTATTGTTCTCTCACTAGTTCATACTCAGCAAAAACCTGCAGTAAACACGTGAGCCTGCTGTGCTGCTTTCTTCCAGTGAATTGCTGTAATTTATTTTGTGTGTACTTTTTATTTTTATTTTTTTTAATCACTGGGCTTCCTAAGTTATAGGTCAGCGTAATAATCAGTTAATTTTTTTCTTCAAGGTGACGGACTCCCCGTATGTTGTGGCCAGTATGGGTATCATGACGCGTATGGGCACTCCTGTTCTCAATAAACTGGCTGAGGGAGTGGAGTTTGTCCGCTGTCAGCACTCTGTGGGGCGACCTTTACCTCTCAAAGGTGCAGATTCCAAGAGCCTGAATCGAGTTTTATTTGTAATTTGTATCTGTTTTTGCAAAATTTTATACATTTTCCTGCCTTTTATTTGTTCCCTCCTTTTTACTACCAGCTCCTCTGGTGAACTCGTGGCCCTGCAACCCAGAAAAGGTGCTGATATCCCACCTGCCCGACACCAGGCAGATCCTCTCCTTCGGCAGTGGCTATGGAGGGAACTCTCTCCTTGGGAAAAAGTGCTTTGCCCTGCGCATCGCCTCCCGCATCGCCAAAGATGAAGGCTGGCTGGCTGAGCACATGCTGGTTAGAATGCTATGTAATGATTATGACCTGAGTCTGAATTAAAGAGGGTTTATTTTAATTAAAAACATTAACACTACAAGCCTACACCTTCCACATTTATTAAAAACGTGGAGTTATATTCTTGCTAATATTAATATTTCCCTCTTTCTTCTCTCTTCAGATCTTAGGAATCACCAGTCCTCAGGGTGTGAAGCGATACATCGCAGCTGCCTTCCCCAGCGCTTGTGGTAAAACCAACCTGGCCATGATGAAACCAGCTCTACCAGGCTGGAAGGTTGAGTGTGTAGGCGACGACATTGCCTGGATGAAGTTTGACAGCCAAGGTGAGTGAAGCACTCACTTCATTTTATTAATCCAAAAATAATCTGTAGTTACAAAAAGCCCTCTAATCTTTCTGTAGGTAAACTGAGGGCCATCAACCCAGAGAACGGGTTCTTTGGCGTGGCCCCGGGCACCTCCAACAAGACCAACCCCTACGCCATGGCTACTATTGTTAAAAATACTGTGTTCACCAATGTTGGTGAAACCAGCGATGGGGGGGTGTGGTGGGAAGGACTCGACCCCCCTCCTGCTGACATGGCGCTCACAGATTGGCATGGCAAAACCTGGAAACGAGGTGACATCAGTTGTTGTGTATCAGTGTACTTAACAGTCAAAGTGTATACAGCACCATCTGCTGGTAAACCAAAGCAAAGTCACAAATTTAGAACTGGGTTGAAGTAGTGATTCCCGGCCCCCTGGTGGTCTGCAAAGGTACTGCAGGTGGGCCGCAGTATTAACTGACATTCAGATTCAAAATACTTTAATAAGATAATTATGTGGGTTACAGTTACTCCAAGAAAGTAACAGCAACAGACTAAACTAATTAAATAATACAATTTACTACAATGTTTACAAATTTAAGAAATAGCACAATGTATATATGTATACAAACTGCTCAATTATAAATATCAAGAATATTACAGAGGTTAAATTTATATGATTGATATTTAACTCTAATCTGTGAAACGTCGTAATGTGTTATTTTACCGTAGAGCACGTGCAAAAGGGTGTAAGTATTGGAGTTGTACGGGGAGATTTCCTGTGTCATTCAGTGGTGCATTTGAGTAATCTCGGTCTGTCACTGAATGTGCTTCTGTGATTAGCCAGCAAGCCGTGGAGTGGGTGGGAGGTTTTATCCAGCATTGTCCTTATCTTGGACAACATCAGCCTCTCAGAAATTCAGTTTGAAATTACTCACAAATCTGTAGAGTGACACATTTATAAAAAAAATGTGAATTCAAACTGGTAATAGGAGACGGCTAGTTTGTGGGTCCTTAGGGACTAGAAAAGCGCTATACAAATACAGGCCATTTACCATTTTTTACCGTTACTCAGTTGCAGGTGGATCGCATATTGGTGTTATACTACTTTGCATATGACTGTGCAACAACACGTGTTCTGTTTAGGTTTTTAATGCAGTTTTCAAGGAAATGCATGGCTCTCTTTGTTTGAGAGTGAAGATTTATAATTGGGTGTCCCCATGAGATTTTCAGTTTTTTTCCAGGGGTTGCAGTACTCTTGACTTTGGTAGATCAAGAGTACTGCGAGAGTCAAGAGTAGACGCAGTTAACCATTAACCATGACATTAAAAACACGAGCTGTTAACAAACAAACAAACAAACAAACAAACAAACAAACAGTTTGTCTTCTTTGTACACAGGAAGCTCAACACTCTGCGCCCACCCCAACTCCCGTTTCTGTGCACCAGCGGCTCAGTGTCCCATCATTGACCCCCAGTGGGAGAGTGAGGAGGGTGTCCCCATTGATGCCATCATCTTTGGTGGGAGGAGGCCAGAAGGTTGGTGCCAAGTTTAAACACACTTTGTACCCCGGTGGATTCATATTATCACATTTTGGCTGTTCATCCACACAAAAACACCCACAACACATTTAAAATGAAACGGTGCAGTCTTGATGTTCATGGGCAACATGAACAAATATACAACATATACAATATACAGCATATACAAATACAGGCCATTTACCATTCATCAATAACATTTTCAGCTTTAGTGAAATGAAATGTTTTTTTTGAGAAATTATAGATGTATTATATATTACACTCCTGTCTGTTTTGTTGGATCAGTCGGGGTACATACTGACTCAAGATGCCATATGTAAATTAAGAGAATATGGTGGCTCTGTATTTTACTGGTTTACACTTATTGGTAAATTAAAGCAGGTACATGGGTCTGGCCTGTGTGGGTACATTGACTTAAAAGGTTGGGAGTCACTGTTTTAATAGAGACACAAGATAGGACTCTCAGTGCTTGAAATAGTCAAGCATTGATTGCAGTTTATGGTTCATGAAGTACGATGTATTTTCTCTTTTGAGTGTATTACAACAGCATGAAGTTTTAAAAAAAAACATAATTGGAGCGCAGTATAACTTGTAGCAGAAAGTAGGCTTGCACTGAATCTGATCACATGATGTTGATGTTGTCAGGAGTCCCATTGGTCTACGAGTCTTTGAACTGGCAGCACGGAGTATTTATTGGAGCTGCAATGAGGTCTGAGGCCACAGCAGCTGCTGAGCATAAAGGTACGGATCCTCACATGTTTCTGAGATGCAGTTCTGTGAAACTCTCCGGAGCAGTCTCTTTACTTTTGCTGTTTTTCACATAATGAAATAATCAGGAAGTTGCTTTTCCATTTTCCCTCCAGGCAAGGTGATCATGCACGACCCCTTCGCCATGCGGCCGTTCTTCGGCTACAACTTTGGAGACTACCTCGCTCACTGGCTGAGCATGCAGAGCCGTAAGGCCCCCACTCAGCTGCCCAAGATCTTCCACGTCAACTGGTTCAGAAAGGACCCGGCAACCGGCGCCTTCCTGTGGCCTGGCTTCGGTGAGAACGCCCGCGTGCTAGAGTGGATCTTCAAACGCTGCGGCAGAGAGAGAGAGGACGAGGCAGCCAAAAAGAGCATCATCGGCTGGGTGCCACAAGATGGCGCCATCGACACTAAAGGTCTGGGCAGCAAGGTGGATATGGGCGCACTGTTTGACGTGCCCAAGCCTTTCTGGCAGAAGGAGACCCAGGAATTGAAAGCCTACTTTACTCAGCAGGTTGGCGCTGACCTGCCAGCGCAGGTGGAGGCTGAGCTCAAGGCACTGGAGGATAGAGTACACAATTAAAAAGCCTCCTGACAGCAAGTAAACAAAGAAGCAGGGAGGGAGGTACTCGGGAAGCAGAATTCACATCATGAAGGTGTAATCAGAACTAGTGACCCGAGTTTACATACACAAAAATTTATAAATGAATAAATAAACAAAAAATGGGTAGAATGAATCTTATGTTGAGGATTCAGTCATAAAACCAGCAATAATGTGAATATCAAACTTTCCCTGTGTATGAAAACGCAGTCAGTGACTCCTGCCTGTCCCTTTGCAAAGAGAATTGAGATGTGAGATTATCAGTACAACACCTTCTGTTTTTGGACATCATTTTACACTGTTGCCATAAAACTTGAGGCTGCTGCTGGGTTGGTAGGTGGAACATCGTACTGGAGTGCAACCAATGGTGCCTTTTAAGAGTTTTAACAATAATGAGTTCAGGCTGCAAATGTTTACAGGCTGAAGCCCAAAGATTTTTTTTTTTTTTTTTTAGAAAGAAGATGCAGTCAGAACATTTTTAATTCATTGAAATAACATTTTAAAGGATTATTTTTATCACCACTTTTTAACACTTAACATCCCTTCCAGGACTGACTCATGAATCGCTAATCATTCAAGACATCCCATAATAGTTTTGTTATTTAATCATTGGCGGGGATGGTGTTAAATACACTAAATGCACATACATTATCCAGCTCTCATGAAATGTCATTTTAATGTTAAAATGAAAGAAAAAAAACCCCTTAAAAATGCATTAGCTGTTCAAAAGTGAAAAGTTTAGCGGGTTTTCACTGAGGCCAAAGATCACTATGCATTATTCATCTCGCCAATTGCATGATTTGATTTCAAGCGACGTTTACTTGCAGTACGTGAAACGTTGGACCAATTCAAGTCACTGAGATTATAAGGTATTTGTAGAAGTTGTACGCCGAGGATTTTATTACAGTGCAATGAATAAACCTCTTTTAAGGCAGACACAATGGCTGGTGTATTTTTTCCCCCACAGTACACAAGTCTAACACTTAAAAAAATGTTGACAAATATTACATGCAGAGTATTTCACACTCACAATGTCAACACAGATACATTAGTGTGATAACGTAAGTGACAAAACCACATGAGAAGTAGAAAGTTTGGTCACTGTACTGTGAACAGCATGAATAACGCTGGATGCATACACTTCAGACGTGATAGAAGTACTTACCACAAAAGATAACATCATCTTTTCAACAGGACTGAACTGAATGCGAAATAGCAAAGAACTCTTTACAACTGACAGTTCAGTTACACACTGAAGAGCTAAAAATAACAGGCAAAATATTCAAACGTAGAAAGTAGTATCAGAACTAGGATTCAGCTATGAAAACACCATGTTACTAGTAACAAGTCTTTATATTTGCTGTTTTTCATATATTTTATTTAGAGTCGGGCCCTTTAGGCTCCAGCCTTGTCAGGTCTGAGGTACGTACTTTTAGCACTTCAAAGCTCCTCGCTTTAGAAGCCGTCTCTATCTGTAAACACATCTGATGCAGACTACACCTCTGATAATACTGTGTCATTACAATGTAATAAGAGGAACATTGTCCATTCCTGTAAGATACCCTAAAGGTTATTTTTACTAAATAATATTTTTCTTCCCTTATAAGCTCCTGTTACTTCCCTTGCTCTACTGTATCTAGCGAGAAGTACTTTTAGTTGGTAAAAAATTACACGTGAAATTCAGTAAATGTCGGGAGGCAATAAAACGGGTTAGGTAATAAGGTACGGGCTGTATTATGAAGTCCTACAACAAACACATACAATATGAGGAGGTTTTGAGTTTCTCCTTTTCAGAAATACTCGTGTGGCCCAGTCAACTAGTTCCTTGACTGGTACAGCTTCTGCTCATGGATTTAATGTGAACACAGGAAATCCTCTGCAAACGGCTGCCTGAACATGGTACAGAAGCATGGACATAAAACAGACTGCACAAAGTAATTGGTTCTATTTCAGTGAACTCGTTGCTCCACGTTTCTTTCTTTGTTCAGAGGTTGTTAACTGATACTTCTCATTTTTTCTTCACTTTAGCATAAAGTTCCTCTTGGCCATGAGCACTCTGTGTTAAGCTGTTTTCTGGCTTGTTGACTTTCACCTGTGCGTACACCGTATCCTGCTGCTGTCCTCTGTCCTGCATTGAGCCAGAGGGCACTTCATATCCCAGTGTGGAGAAGTTGATCTCTCCATAATGGATGTTTTCTTCCTCTTCTTCTGTTTTACCTGTGGACTCTTCGACAACCAGCTCTTCAGTCTGTAAAACGAATCAAATAAAAAGTTCTGTGACATATAAATCTGGTAAGCAGACTGCACGGATGCAGGTACTACTGTAAATAATCACCTGAACAGTCAGGTAATCTACAATTAGTTTTTTTTTTTTTTTAATTTTTTTTTTCTTACCTGAGTCTGTTGTTGAGTTTCATGTTTTGACTTTAAGCACCTGGAAGACATGAGTGACATTTAAATATTAGATAACTTTAGGTTAAATATACATACGTGTGTGTGTGTGTATATATATATATATATCCAACCATCCATTCGCTTATCCTTTTCAGGGTCGCAGGAGCCTATCCCAGCTGTCATAGGGCGAAAGGCAGGGTACACCCTGGACAGGTCGCCAGTCTGTCGCAGGGCCAACACATAGGGACAGACAACCATTCACACCTAGTGGCAATTTGTATTATCCAATTAACCTATCCCCACAAGCTGCATGTCTTTGGACGGTGGGAGGAAGCCGGAGTACCCGGAGAGAACCCACGCAAACACGGGGAGAACATGCAAACTCCACACAGAAAGACCCCGGCCTGATGGTGGAATTGAACTCAGGACCTTCTTGCTGTGAGGCAACAGTGCTAACCACCGTGCCACCGTGCTGCCTATATATATATGTATATATGTATATATATATGTGTAATATGTGAGTAAAGTTGAGCTTGATGGGAAAGCAGATCATGTTTCTTGCTTTGATGTGTGATATTTACCAAGCCAAGATAACCAAACAGATCAGTAAGACGAACCCAAGGATGCCTCCAAGAAGTGGACCCAGTGGTAAAGAACCATTATTCTGTTGTCCTGATAGAAAAAAAAAGAATGATATTAAACAGTAATCAAAGATATGATTTAATGTGTGTTGTGTGTGTAAAACGTTGGTGATGTGGTTTGTCTTTACCAGCACGAATCTCTGCTGATGTCTGATTACCCAGATCATTAGTGGCCACACAGTAATAAACTCCTCCATCTGTTACATTGAAGCTGTAAATCTCTCCTTCAGATACTTTCACAGCTCCATCTCTGCTCTTCTTGAACCAGGTGAAGCTGCTGACTGGAGGTTTGGCTCTGCTGGAGCAGGTCAGCTTCACCCAGCTGCCTGCTGACACCAAACCTGATGGACTGATGGATGCTGAGGTGTCTTTAGGAGAATCTGGAGAAAAAACATAAATCATGTTGTCCGATGGGATTCAGTTCAACAACAAACTCTGATTGTCTTACATGAAACACTGAGAGTCTCTTCTGTCTCTGCTGTCTTGGTGTAGTTTCCTTGGTTCACAGGATATCTGGCAGAGCAGCTGATCTTCTTTCCATCATGTGTGTCTGACAGAGTGATGATCTGCTGGATTTTAGTTGTAAAGCTTCCATCTGTGTTTTGCTCTATTTTGTTGTGAGAGTCTTGTTGGAGATTCCAGGTGAGTTGAGGAGGGGAGTGTGGACAGGGAGTGAGAGCTGAGCAGGTTATAGTGACAGACTCCTTCTCCTTCAGATCACCTGGGATTGTAATATCGGGCCTCCAAGGAGAATCTGTGGTTTCACATCACAAACACATTTTGCACACTGATAATACAGGAAATACAGTAGAAAAAAAATCATAATTTTTTACTCTGTTAGAAAAGAAAAAATGGATCATTAATGTTGTTTGATGTTTTTTAAACGGTCAAACATCAAACAAGATGTAGTATTTGATTCTCTCTGTGATATCATTAGGGTAGTGCAGACATTCTGGGATAATAATAAATACAGAATAATCAGACTGAATTCTGTAATAATTGAACTTTTAGTTCTTTCTGTTGATTAACCCAAAGCTGCATCTGATTGCTCATTTTAGTTTTTAGAAAACCTGGACAATAAAATGAAAACTTTCTCACCTTTAATTGTTATTTTAAGAGGATCACAAGCAGCTGTTGCTCTGAACGGCCAGTTCATAATTCTGAAGTAGTATGTGTTTGAATAAGTTGTGGTTAAGTTGGAAAACAGAGTGGTGCAGTTTCTCTCCTTCAGGTTTCCTGTAATATTCATTGGATAGATGTTAACTGTCCCACTGCTGTTGAAGATCTCATTGTTTGGAAATGTATTAACATTGGAGTGATTTTTAATCCACACTCCAGAAATAGGTCTTGTGCTGTCAAACTTTTCTGTTCCGGTTTCACTAAAGTTACATGGGATTTGTAAACAAGATCCACTCAGAGCTTCCATCTCTGTTGGTGCAGTGATGAACAGGTTTGAAGCTTGAGGACAAGCAGCCAAAGTACCTGGAAAAAAAGATAAATACACAAATACACATGAGCAAAAACATAATTATGATAAACTAAGATTAGCAGATGTGTTTCTTTTTTCTTAACAGCTTTAGTATAAACTGTGTGACTTTGTAAAGTTTCTCTATCTGCACTGATCTGTCAGACTGTAAATGCCTGAAATGAGACGACTCACTTGGAATAAAGAGGAGACTCAGTAACATGATGCCTGTCATGATGTTCACAGACTGGACTGTCACAAAACTCATCACCTGGAAAAAAAATATAACATCACTTAAAGGTTTGATCAAATCAGGAACTTGCATTGTTTTATAGAGCAATACAAAATTTACATGTATTTGAAATCAGATTAAAAGTGTGTGATATAAAAATTTAGTAAGATATAAAAAATGTTTTCTTACCAAATGATCACACAGCTACAGAGAGAGACAATGTGTGATTTCAACAGAAACACAGTGAGTGAAACACTTCTGTGTTTAGATGTTTTAATGTCAAAGCAAACAGACCTGCGGTGCTTTTGGTTTTCTGCCTTTCTGTATTCAGTCAGTCAGTCTGCTTTTTATGTTCCCCTCGTGCACTCTGCTCTCACTTCAGATGCTGCCAGTCCCACCCGCCTGCCTCTAGATTCACCTGACCTGAGCCTCCACTCACACACTAACCTGTTCTTCATTCTCTCATTAACATTTTTGCACATAGAGCAGCTCGTTTCCCCCAGAGACTGTGTCTCAGCTTTCCACAGTTTTTTTTCTCCTGCCTGTTTTGATCTGGATTTTTGTACTTTACTCACAAAAATGTCTTCTTTGCATTTTTATATAACTCCTGGTTTTCGCTCTCGGTTTTCAGACTTGCACTCTCAATACTGTAAAAATACACAAAGTTGTCTGGATGCATGCTCAGTCATCTAGATAAATACTGTAAATCCAAAAAGGTTAATTCTGTTCTGTCCAGATAAATAGAATCAACCTTTTGGAACAGACAAACCTTCCTGTGAATAAGAAAGTCAGCTCAGTCTCATCAGGGTGCAAATAAATTAATTAAACTAATGATTACATTTTCAATTTCACATTTTCATCCAGGCCTTCAGGTTTTATCCTATTTGCCTGTTATATTTATCAGTATTTTAACTTTACAAATATATAGTACAATTCTTTTTTTTTTAAATTTATAAACACAAATCTAAAGCAAGATGCAGCCTTACATCATACAGAAAGGTTTTCTGTTCAGCACACAACAGTAACACTGAAGTCACAGCTACAGTGAAGTAAATAACACTGATCATCTTGTTACAGTGTGATGTTCTGCCGGCCCCTGACATCCATATATGGTTAGGTAAGGAGTGACATCAATGTGACATTTAGTTATCATTTCAAACCAAACAGACACAACAGCAAATATGACTGATGCAAATATTATAAGAGGTACTAACAAAAAGAATGCCAGACCACGTGACTGAGTAATTTTATTACAGAAAGCTGTCTGTACTCACACAGGTTGTGGAAACTGTGTCCGCAGCTTCCTGTTGACCAGCTTCCTCAATTTGTTTAAACATTTCTTGTTTTATTTAATGACTCATTTATCAGTTGAGCCACTTGGCCAAAAGCAGACATCTAAATATATTTCTCTTTCATCATATCTGGAGTTTTCCCTCTGAAAAAAAGTATCAAAAGTAATCATGTATCACGAGAAACTTCAGAGTAACACCACAATAAGCACAGTTAGGTTGTTGGGCAGGAACAACCTAACTCTGCTATGTTATCTGCTATCAGGAAACTTTAAGTCACATCACAGATTCCAATGTTAGTCAACTTAAAAAGTAAATATTATGCATGTTTCATGGCTATTTCTTATTTTATCATCAATATTTGAAAATCCTACAACCATACAACACCAAAGTGTTCCCAGGCCAGGTAAAAGAAATAATCACTCTGTCATGCCCTGAGCCTACCCTGGAGATGACTGAAACATCTCACAGAGGCTACGTTCACACCAATGTGTTTTTGTTTGAAAATGCATTGTTTTCTCTCTGTTTTGGCTTCCCGTCCACACTGAGATGGTGTTTTCGCTGATGGAAAATGCAGCGTTTTGAAAATGCTCTGAAATACGCATACATTTTCAAACGGTGCTTTCGCGTCGCAGTGTGGACAGCGAAAACGGAGACTTTCTAAAACAATGACGCATGTTAGTCATATGATGCAGTCATGTGGCCAATTAAACTAAGATAGCAGAGGGCATTAAACAGCAGTTGCTTTGTTTGCTCGCAATTTTGACAGCCCTATTAAAGATTAATATCAGTTTGTACATGCTCCAGATAGCTTTTCTTCAAATTCTTTAAATCTCACTCGCTTTGCAACTTTGTACTTTTCTTTTATTCGCAGCAACAACTCCACCTCATTGTTAATCTTGAAGATTTGAAAACAGCGTTGTCGTCTGAAAACGCTACACGTCCACACTAGCATTTTCAGTCACTTTCACAGAGTTGTGTGTCCAGGGAGCAAAATTCATTTTTCAAATCTGGGTGCATGATCTTATGAGTGTCCTGTGATTGAAATCAGGCATCAGAAGGCTGAGGACTTGGAGGCAGAGGGACCTCACATGCAGGCTCCCTTTCATTGTCTAAAACAGAGCTTCCCAAAGCGTGGGGCTCGCGGTATGAAAAGGGGGGAAATAAAAGAAAGAATGCTTGGACACTGCTAGCATAATGGACAGGTTTTTGACGGGACTCCCACACAAACGCAAAGCAGGAGATGAAGCATAGCTGAATATGTTTCCAAACCAACTTCATTCTAAGCCAAAGACTAGAAAATATGGTGAAGCATGTCTTCCCTTTGGCTTCACCTGCACAAGTGCCAAGGTAGGTCTCCCCTGCAGAATTGGTTTTCCCTGCGTCAGGAGCAGCGCTGGGCTCTCCAAATCAGGGGCAAACAGTATCCCACATTCTTGATTTTTATTTCACAAACACTTGTCGTAATGACTAACTACTCCTGACATTTTGGAGATGTTAGCTCTTTATATAGTAAAGTTACAGCGGGATACAAATAACATCAGGCAATTCTGCCACGATTTGTTCAAAAACAGTACAAAACAGTATCCCACAGCTGTTTATGTTTTTGAACCCATTTTGCACAAAGAGGCATTTTTTGAAAAATGTTTTGATAGCAATGTCAAATATTATTACACAGGAAAAAACAACTACACGTAAAATAATTACACCGTGACGCCTCTGCCTTTCTAAATGGAGGGACAGTAACTGCGTGTGTATATGTAAGCGTGTAAAAATTGCAGATAGTCAGATTAACAATTCATCTCATGTAAACAATAACGTGAGCACAGCGTGACGTGAAAAAAGGCACATAGCTTTGACGTTGCATGACGAACTCTGTATTCCTTGTCCACATGTAAACGCAAAAAAGGAGTTTTAAAAAATCTTAGTTTTCGGGAATTCGAAATGCTGTTTACGTGTGGACGAAACAGCTGCTTTTTCAAAAGTACCCGTGTAGGTGCGGATGTAGCATAAAAGAGTTAGTAGTTTATTAAGATGTGATTGTACGTGGACGGGTGGGAGGTGCGCCTGAAGGGGCCTAGCAAAAAAAGTTTGGGAACCACTGGTCTAAAAAACAATGAAAGGGGGAACTTGATCATCCAAAGCAGAAAAGTCTTAATTTTATGAGTCTGTTTCTGTTAAGGAGGTCGATTCATTACTTTTTCGTTTTCTACACTTTGCTTCCTACAACCTGCAATACAATACCCAGCTCGTTTTGAATCACTGGAGAAGTGAAGAATGCAGATTACATTTTATGTAAGAAGGTATATGTATGAGGTGATAAAACATAAAACCCTTTCATATAACAGAACTATAATGATTTACAGAGAGAGCAGAGTTTTAATGGTTTTGTGTAAACACGCATGATGAACTCATTCTCAAACAGCACTGCGAGTGGCAACTGCAATGGGCGGGAATCGAACCCGGGTCAACTGCTTGAAAGGCAGCTATGCTCGCCACTTTACCACCATCGCTGTGAAAGACT